TCAAAAAAAAAAAAAAGTTTTAAAAATCCCGTAGAAAATTAAATGGCAGAAGAAATTAAACTTCTGCCCCAGAGAGGTCTGCCTGATGATGGTGTGTTTCCTCTTTGGAGAGGTTGACCTTCCTTGACCACCCAATGGTGCCTCCCCCTCTCCTTTCCCTCTCTGATACGTGTCCCTGTTTATTCCCTCCCTTTATGACCCTCAAGACAATCTCAAAGTAGCCTTTTTGGTCATTTGCTTATTGTTTTCTTCAGCCTTATTATTTAAGGTGTGTCTTGTGGACTAGAATCTAAGCTTCTAAACTTCGTGAGGGCAGAATGGGCACTCAGAGAAGGAAGGAAGGAAGGAAGGAAGGAAGGAAGGAAGGAAGGAATGATGCAGCCAGGAATACACCCAATACACTATTGAGTTACATAAACCATTGAGAAAAACCAAACCAAACAAACAAACAAACAAAAACAACAACAAAAAAAGTCTTTAAAAAAATCCCTGGGAGGAAAAGCTATCTTAATTCTGTAAAAGGGACTTCAGTGTTTCTGTACCCTCTCAAGGCTGGAAGCTGGGATCAAATAGCTCTGCTGAAACCGCTCTGAATGTGCCCTGTGGCTCTAAACATAGCCACGGAGCCATTTGGGAGAGCAGCCAATGCCTTGCTCTGGGAGGGGTTCCTTGGGCACTCTCTTGCCAGCATGTCAAATGCCCTTCCTTGTTCTCAGTTTAGCTCTGATCAGAGGCAAGGGGCCCCGAAGGCTCACACTTGCAACACTAGCACTAATCACAGCAAGCCCAGATTGAGTGCTTAACTGTGTGCCAGCCTTAGTGCCAAACACTTCAGAAAAAAAAAACTCATTTAAATAGCTTCACACTTAGAGTGTAATAACAATTATTATCCATTTTACAGAAGGGAAAACCGAAGTTCAGAAGGCTAAGGGTCTCACCAAGTCAACCAACTGGCAGAGAGGGAAGAGCCCCATCCTTCTGACACCAAGATGCTTATTCTCTAGTGACCTCCTGACACCAGAGTTGAGTTTAGTGACGCACAAAGCTGTCTTGTTGGCAGGGTAACCTCTCTGTAGAATGCCGTGTAATTGTTTTGAACATGAAGACGCTGGCTGTTCCCCTCGCTGTCTGGCAGACAGGGTTTCCAGGAGCCTTTGGGTGTGGGTTAGCCAAACAGGTACTCTGAACTGACAATACATTGGCAGGGTTTGGGTTTCAGCGAACCTGGAGTCATTGGGCTTTATTTCTAGAAACCAAGGGCATGCATGAGAAGGACCAGTTTGTGAACCTCATTTTCTGGGCTGCTGCTGCATCTGGGCCTCCCCAGTTTGGACCTGAAGGCATGAGGTGCCTTGGGTTTCTGTAGAATCTCTGTGCAACAGGAGTCTCGCTATCCCCCTGTCCTAGCCTCATCTCCCCAGGAGGACATGGGAGAGCGTGGAACACAGTGCCTGTGCTCAGCAATATGTCTGGTTTTCCTCCCCTTCCTCGCCATAAGAAAGGATCACACTTCCCTACCCCTTGAGGTCAGGCAGGGTCATGCGACCTGCTTTGGCCAATGAAATATGAGAAGAAGTGATATGCCTCTCTTCCTAGCAGATGCATGGGAGCAGTACAGGTGTGTGACTCTCTGTGCTTTCTTTCTGCTCAGGACAGTTTTGGGGCCAAACTCAGTGGGGTTTCTCCCTGCAGCTTATGAACAGAATCAGTGTGGTGGGTGGTTAAGACATGGGCTCTGGAGCTCACTCATCAGGTTCCAACCCCAGCTCTGCCACTTTGCAGCTGTGTGACCTTGGGCAAGTCCCTGCATTTCTTGATCCCTCGGTTTCCCCATCTGCAAAATAGGGACCCACCTGGTACCTACCTCATGGTGCTCTCATGAGGTTAAATGAGATCAAGACACAAAGCCTGAGTGCAGGGCTCAGCAGGTAGTTAAGCCCTTGGTGGACATGAGCTCTCAGAAAGATGGGGCAGAAGGGTATCTTTTTTTGTCCCCTGGGACCTGGGATACAGCCATCCACCCTTTAGGACCTGGGAAAGTCTTGCTGGGGACACAGAAGAGGAAAGGAAGGGAGAAAGCAGCTGAAAGCTGAGGAAGGAGAGGAGACCCTCGTCATCATGGCACATGGGAGGTAGGCTAGATGGCAGTTCCTCTGGCAGTGTGGAGCCTGATGATTCTGAACTTGTTGCTTCTGAGTCTGGGCCCTCCCTGTGTGCTGAGGAGTGGTGGGGGAAACCGAGGCAAGAGGAATCAGCCAAATTGAGCCCTGAACCAAGGCAGTGAGAACTGAATTAAATCCCCTCCTGTCCATCTGTAGGGTCCTCATAGGTATCTGATATTTTTTTCACTCATGACCTGAACCATCCTCCATCAGGTCATAGCTACAGCTGCCAGGTGCCCCTGGCCAGCCATCGAGGGAAGAAACACCCAGACCCTGAGGGAAGGTCTTTGTGGAGACTTGCCCCAACTGCAGGGAAATTGGAATCTTTTATTGAAAGTGTAAATTATGCAGTGTGGAGTCTGGCATGGAGTCCAAAAGGCCTCAGTCCTCCAGGTGACCTCCTTCCCCCTGTGGGTGCTGACTGTAGGGCTAACCGTGGATGGGACTGTTTGCCCACAGGGCCAATGGCTGGTTCCTTTTTTTGGGGGGGGGCATGTGGGAAGAGGGTTGCAGGGCTGGGGAAGGACTGTCATAGGGGGCTGAAGGGACTCGGGGCCAGGGGCTGTGTTAGGCAGAGCCTTTTCAGGGCTGGTTCTGGCTTCTTCCAGGGCTTCGGCAGCATCTCTGCCTCTGTTGTTCAGGCACTCAGCACCAGAAGGTCCTTGGAGAACAGAAGAGAGAATCCAGTTAATGGATGAGATGACTTCTGCCTGCAGCCTAGTAGTCACCTGCCTTTGGATTGGGCAAGTCACATTTCTGGGAAGGAGCAGTTCTGAAGAGAGGAGACAATTGGGGGCAAGGGGCCTGAAGATCACCCTGGCCATGTCATTGGCTTGCCCTGTACAGGGGACCTTGGGCAAGACACTTCCCTCCCCACCCCTCATCTCTTTCTTCTCCCAAATAAGAGAAGCAGGCCTGGGCCTCTGTCCACACTCTCCCCAAATCCAATTTCCACAACTAAAAATATCTACAACAAAGTAAATAATAGGTTTAACCCACAGAACAAAATAAATACCCATGAGTCTGTACTGATATAAATTATTGGATCAATAAATAAATGGTGAGCAGGGATGGTTCTTCCTCGTAGGAGATTTCTACCTAATAAATGTGAAAGGAGTTATAGAGTCTCCATTGGGCAAACACCGCACTAATAACTGTTGCAGACAAGAACCATTAAAGAATGCTAAAATGAGTGGCAGAAAGCATGATGAGAAGTAGGATAGTTGGGTCATCTCCAAGTATCTCCTTGTGAGATATTTATTAGTTACAATGGGAAAGATCGTAACTTAGCAGTGGGGAAACTGGCAGGAACCACCTTAACCACATGATCAAAGTCAATATCCCTGGGAAGAAGGCGTTGACATTGTGTGCCCCCGATACGGTGCACTGAGAAGGCACACAGCATCGCATCAGTGGTGTTCTTGCCAAAAATACATAACCTCAATCTAATCATGAGAAAACATCTGTCAAATCCAAATTGTAGGGCACTCCACACAATGGGCCAGACTCATCAGAAATGTCAAGGTCATAAAACACAAGGGAAAATTTAGCAACTGTCACACATTGGAGGACACTGTCGCAGATTTGGACTGATGACCAAATGCAAAGTGGGATCCTGGATCTTAAGCCAGACAAAGGACATCAGTGGGAAAACTGTCAAGGAAGGCCTGTAGATCAGTTAATAGTTTTGTATCAGTGTGAACTTCCTGGTTTTGATCATTATACTCTGGGTATAAAAGATGGCAACATTAGGGGAAACTGAGTGAAGAGTGTTCTAGTGCTCTGTGTACTATTTTTTCAACTCTTCTGTAAGTCTAAAATTGTTTGAAAATGAAAAATTAGGGGCGCCTTGGTGGCTCAGTTGTTAAGCATCTGACTTTGGCTCAGGTCATGATCTCACAGTTGGTGAGTTCAAGTCCCACATCGGGTGAGCTCAAGCCCTGCTTTGGGTGAACACGAGCCCACTTCAGGCAAAAGATGAACCCTGCTTCGGGTGATCCCTGCTTCTCTCTCTCTCTCTCTCTCTCTCTCTCTCCCCTTCTGGGATTCTTCCTCTCTCTGCCCCTTGCTCACTTGCGCCCTCTCTCTCTCTCTCAACGACAAAAAAAGAAAATGAAAAATTAAAATACATGGCTAGACCCATATAATAATAACAAGAAGAAAGAGGAAGAGGAAGAAGAGGAAGAAGGAGGAGAAGAGAAGGAGAAGAATTAGCTACTATTTACAGAGGTTGTATGAGACCAAGACTGGACTGGGTCTTTAAATCAGTGGTTCTGCTACTAGGAATTTATCCAAGGGATACAGGAGTGCTTATTCTTAGGGGCACATGTACCCCAATGTTTACAACAGCACTTTCAACAA